AAAATCTAAATGAAAAAGTTAACCATAGACCCAACATCACTTACTCTGGGTCAGAAACTGTGCCAATCGCTTTAAGTGCATTTACTAAATCCTCAAAAAAATATTATGAAGTGGGTGCTATTATTAACTCCACTTTACACACCAGAGGTCTGAGGGCTAAAGAAATTAGCGATTTGTTTAATATCGTATGGCTAGTCATGCCAGTCTGAAAAATTTTCGCTCTTAACGCCCGGGTTCTGTATCACACAAGTCAATTGTCAGGCCACAAGAATGCCGAGGTGCGAACACGGTAACATATCATGAGTGCCCACAGTATCCAACACATACGGTAACCGCGGTCCAGCCCGCACCCATCGGGTGATCCCCTCACGCGTGATGCTCACGCGCGCCGTCCTCCTGGTCCTGGCTTCCTCTACGAAGGCTGAGGCGGCCTGATCTCGGCCGAAAGGTGAGGACGACTCTATCTGGGCTGGACTCCTTCTGCCTGAGTATCAGATCCGAGCGTTGTGCTGGCCGGGACGAGAGGGCGGAGCCGGCCCTCGGAAAAGATTGCGGATTGGAGGGGAGGAGAAACAGGGGGCGGAGCCTCGGGGGGAAGCGAGAAGCCGCAGCAACCATGTAAGCAGCCTCGCTTCCTGCCACAGCCGCTGGCGGCTGGAGTATCCCAGTGCTGCCCTTCGGAGCCGGCTTCCTGGGCCTGAGCCGGGTGAAGCGGTGGCTGGGGTGGAGGGCAGCCAGCGGGGTTGGGGCGGGAGGCGCAGGTAAGGGAGGTGTCTGCAGCGCGGCTGCTGGGGCTGAGAAAGGGAAGAAGACGGGTTTGGGGAGTTCCCGGGCCAGAGCCGGAGGGGGAAAGCTGAGGTGAAGGCGAGAGCTGGGCTCCACGACCGGGGGCTGAGGCCTGGCTGCGGCCGAGGCTGGGCCAGGAAGGGCAGAGGACCTGTCACTAGAATTAGCTGGTCGTCCTGATTGCCTGGCTCCCCTTATCTGGCCAGTGGGTACGGGAGCCGGGTTGGGCTCTTCTTGAAGAGATCTCTTTGGAAACATTTGAAGTTCCTTTGCCCCGCTCTAGTCCCTTGTGCTTGAACTTATTTTGGCGGTGAATAGTCCAATTCCTTTTCAGAGTGAACGAGCTCTAAGTCTGCGTGTCAGAGGTGCATCCGTAGGCTGGGAAAGAAAGTTAACGAGCTACAGAAACGACGACCGTGGGGTTTCTAATACGTGTATATGTCAAGTGCTGGCCTCTGCTATTTGAGGCGATTCCATTTCAACTTATGTTTCAAAATCTATTTGGAGAAGGAGACTTAATTTCCCAATTAGTATTTCCCCTTTGCTTAGAATGTTCCTAACAAAAGAATGAAAATGGAATGTGGTGTATACTTGTGGGAATTACGAGTCTTCTGTCTAATTCAGAGATTATTCCTAAGACATTCATTCAAGAAATATGAGAAATACTAGAATTCTGTGTAAAGCAGTTATTTCTGTGTCTGGTGTGTGTATATATTGTCTAGTATTGAGTCAGTGCATCCTGTGGTGTAGAGTTAGTGCAATCTTGACAATAGAGGTAGTTGCTTGGTGTGTTGTGCTTATCTCTGATTTTTTTGAATCTTGTTTTTTGGTACTCCAAAACTGCCACTCTGTCGGTTTCTTTCTCTTGGATTTGATTTTGTGACAAAGATTGGTTAAGTTAAATCTCTTCTATGCAGCAAGACTAGTTTCCTGGGTCCTCCCCTTTTCTTCTTTCTGGGGAGGGAGAGTATTACGGATCATGTTGAACATGGTTTTCTTTTAGTGTTTCTGTTGGTGTGTCAAGTCAAAAGTTGAACAAAAAAAACTTTGTTGATTCATGCTAACCTTCCTAGTATTCAGCTGTCCTGAATTATTAGGTAAATTTTGAGTATTTTAAAATCTTTTGCATACTTAGAAATGACCAGACTGATACTTGAATTTTCCATCTGCTAAAATTTTGATATTGGCTGGTAGGTCAGCTTATTTTCTACATTTTAATTCCTGATTAGCCTTCTGATTGCCTTTAGCAACAAGGTAGTGTATAGTAGGTCTGTGTATACTGGTAGCCTTGAAATGAGAAGAGGTATTGGTGATGCATTAGAGGTCTTTGGATAGGGAGGTTAATACTTCTAATTACTCCTAGTTTATATTATAAACAGTTGTTAAGGTGACAAAGAATAAGAGTTACAAGGTATTTTTTTCAGGACCCTAGTGTCATTATGTAATTGTTAGGATTAACTCTGTGTGATTCTGTTTGTATGTCAGAGACTATACTTGCTGAGTGTTTTCATGAGATTTTTATCTTCATATATCTAACGCCAAAGAAAAGTTTTGTGTTTAGATAACCTTTAGAAGTAATTCTAAGACTCTTTAGGAAGATTACTATCTCTGTTTCTGATGTTACTTGTATAAGTAGAATGTAGGCTGTTTTCTGAGTCCTGAGGGTTGTTATCACTATCACATCCTTTCTCTCCAGTGCTTTTTTGTAAAAATAAAGTTTATGTTTTTATATATAATATATATAAACTTTATTTTATATACACACACACACGCACATATATGTATTTTTGAGACAGAGTGTCTCTCTGTCCCCTGGCTACACTGCAGTGACGTCAGCCTAGCTCACTGAAGTCTCAAACTCCTGGGCTCAGGTGGTCCTCCTGCCTCAGCCTCTCGAGTAGCTGGGAGGGCACCACCATGCCTGGCTAATTTTTTCTATTTTTAGTAGAAAAGGGGTCTTGCTCAGGGTGGTCTCAGACTTCTGACCTCAAGCAATCCTTGCGCCTCTGCCTCCTAGAAGGCTAGGATTACAGGTATGAGCCACCATGCCTGGCCTTGAGTTTATACTTGATCAATCACAAGCTTATTTATGCTGGAATATGGAGTGTCGTGACACTAGGATGGTTGATTACTTTCCCCAATAGAAGATGATATTAGAGACTTTCCTTTCCCTGCTCCTTTCTTCTTCCTCCTTTTCTTTCCTTCCTCGTTTCCCATCCTCTTCTCTTTTCCCTTTCCTCTCCTCATCCCTTCTAATAACCATTTATTGCCAAAATTCTGTTCAAGTCAGTGATTTCATTTCTGCTTTAATTAACTTATTAATCAATTAAATTATTAATTAGTCAAAGTCTTGAGATGTTAGAGAATTCAAATTGGAAGTCTGAAGAGCTACAAAAGTAATTTTGTAATTTAAAGTACAAAAGCTACAAAAGTAATTTAAAGAAGAATTTGGGGGTGAGACTTGGAGTCTAGTTACAGCTCTACTACTGACTGTGTAGCCCTCAAGAAAGTTGTTTTAAGTTCAGTGTACCTTGGTTTCCTCAAAGGTAAAATGTAGTAATGAGGCCAACTCTGCGTGCCTTCCAGGATTATTGTAAGAATAAAACAAAATGGTAGATATGATTTTGAATGTGAAAAGCACTTTACAAGAGTGTAATATCCTCTTTGTAATGTGTAGGTTATATTATAAACGACAGCATTTTAATGACTAGAGTTATGTATGATTCTTCTCTTTGAAGTGTAAATCAGTGTGGCAGAAAATAGACATTAGTGCTTTTCAGTAACCTCCATCTGGTGATGTGCTTAGCTTTACTGCTTTGGTGGAATTATGATTTTTGGTTATTTAGAGAAAAATCCCTGTAAGAAGAGTTTCATCTTAATGTTGAGATGTTAAATGTAAAAAATTGAGAACATTGTACAGAGTCGAGGCTTAAAGGGAAGAAAAACCAGGTTCATGTGTCTAGGAGGAAGATGATGGGAAACAGCTTGTTGATTTGAATAGTTGTCATAGGTGGTGAAGTGTAGCTTGAGGTAATTGTTGAGGTTATATAGAAATGTCATTAAAGAATGACTTGGCTGGGTGCAGTGGCTTACACCTGTGATCCCAGCACTTTGGGAGGCTGAGACAGGAGGATTGCTTGAGGCCAGGAGTTGGAGACCTGCCTGGGCAACTTAGTGAGACCCTGTCTCTACAGAAAGTAAAAGAAAGAGCCAAGAGTGCTGGCAAGCACCTGTATTCCCTGCTATTTGGGAGGCTGAGGCAGAAGGATTGCTTGAACCTAGTTCAAGGTTGCATGATCATGCCACTGCACTCCAGCCTGGGCAACAGTGCAAGACCCCATTTCGAAAAAAAAAGATGACTTTTATTTCCTTTTCTTGGAAATATAATATTGATTTTTTACATTATTTTTTAAAATAAAAAGTTAATATAAGTAAAATAAGACTATGCGACTTAAGAATTTATATGCTTGTATAAAACCAGTTTTCCCATAACTTTCAAAAACTATTGAGTATTCTTTTTTCCAAAAAGTCTTAAAATGAAAGAGATATAAATGATGTAAAAATGGTTTTTTTCAGGCCGGGCATGGTGGCTCACGCCTGTAATCCTAGCACTCTGGGAGGCCGAGGTGGGAGGATCACTCGAGGTCAGGAGTTCAAGACCGGCCTGAGCAAGAGTGAGACCCCGTCTCTACTAAAAATAGAAAGAAATTAGCTGGACAACTGAAAATATATAGAAAAAATTAGCTGGCATGGTGGCGCATTCCTGTAGTCCCAGCTACTCTGGAGGCTGAGGCAGAAGGATTGCTTGAGCCCAGAAGTTTGAGGTTGCTGTGAGCTAGGCTGATGCCATGGCATTCTAGCCCGGGCAACAGAGTGAGACTGTGCTTTTTTTCTTTCTGCCTACTCTCATTAATATTTTATTTCCAAATTTTCATTAATTTTAATATTTTCTATAATTTTAATAGTAATGTTTAAAATTAGGTTGGCTATGTAATCATAGGTTTTGGTGATTGAGACTTCCTATGATCTAGACAGCAGTGTTTTCAAGCCTTGGAGTATACTAAACTAGATTTCTCTACTCTTTGGTTTTCATAGATCTGAATTTTAACAGAATAGGATTTTTCAGATATTTGGATGTTATTTGGAATCAAATTTTGGGCTTCCCGAGAAATTTAGAGAAATTGTTTCTTTTTTTTCCTCCCCAGACTCATGAAATGGCCACAGATGATAAGACTTCCCCAACGTTGGACTCTGCTAATGATTTGCCTCGATCTCCTACCAGTCCGTCTCATCTCACACACTTTAAACCTTTGACTCCTGATCAGGATGACCCTCCTTTTAAATCAGCTTATAGTTCTTTTGTAAATCTCTTTCGATTTAACAAAGGTAAGACTCATTCTTAAAGATCAGAAAACTTACAGGTTTGAGTCTCTGAAATTCTCTTGTTCAACTTTCATGCTGTATCTTTGTAAGAAAGCAAAATATTAACAAGCTGATAGCTTTAATCATAAGTCACCAGGATTTATGCCTTAAGAGAAAACTAGAATTTTCACTGTAATTTCATTAATTATTGGTAACTGAAGGTCTGAATTGAAAACTAAATGTTAAAAGGCGATCCCCTTTTAAAGAGAAAGTAGTGCTCTTTGTTTTGTTTTTATTCTTTTTTCTTAATATACTTCAACTTCCTTGAGTTCACAGAGTGGACTTTATTCTTTTGGGGTTAATGGACAAAAGATTTTAATTAACGCAATGAAACTAAAAGGAGCAGTACATGAGAGGAAAGGCTTGTTTTTCAAAAATTAGAAGCTGTTGGTAGGCCTCTTGTTGACTTAAACCCATTAGATTAAAGTGTACATGTAATGACATCTAATGGAAAGATACCTTTTTAATGAGCTCTATTTAAGTAATATGTTTTTTGCCTGGAAAAAGAATTAAAAAAACATGGCCTGTATCTTTCACCTTTCATTTGTCTGTATTATAGTTTAATTAACTCAGTAGAAATTTTAACAGTAGTAATTGAATTTTATTAGTGGTCATGTTTAAAGTGCTATAAAAACTCCTCTTGATACATTTGTAAGACAATGATCTTTGAAAAAAAGCTTTTACAACAGTTTTAGATTTATAGAAAAAATGAGTACATAGCACAGAGAGTTCTCATATACCCCCATATCCAGTTTTCCATTATGAACATCTTACATTAGTATGGTACATTTATTACAATTAATGAACCATTATTAACTAAATTCTATATTTTATTCAGATTTCTTTGGTTTTTACCTAAGGTTCTTTTTCTGTTCTAGGATCCCATTACATTTACTTGTCATAATACAATAATATTTTTATTTAGCAAATGTTTAATGAGTACCTGCTTTGTGCTGGGCACTGTTTTAATAGTGTAAGGAATCTATCTCATAAATGGCTAAAAAAAAAATCCCTGCCTTTCTGTGAAGCTTGCATTCTATTTCCTTTACTATGCCCAAGAAATTTCTAACAAAAAGTAAGACAGAAGATCACATATACCCTCTGGGAGGACGAGGCGGGCGGATTGTTTGAGCTCAGGAGTTCGAGACCAGCCTGAGCAAGAGCGAGACCCCATCTCTACTAAAAATAGAAAGAAATTGGCCAAACAACTAAAAATAGAAAAAATTATCCAGGCATGGTGGCGCGTGCCTGTAGTCCCAGCTACCTGGGAGGCT